TTTCTATTCTGTTCGAGAATCTGTGTGTATTGTTCTTCAGCATACTGTTTTTGATTTCATCGTATTCCTAGGCCTGTTTGATAAGTTCTCGGATTGACGATGCGTCTTGTCTTTTTATGTATAACTTATTCTGGTCTCATATTGGTATATAAGTTCCTCTTGGAAGTTGAAATTATTGTGCCTTCGGATGAGTGTTTGTATTTCTATGACGTAGTCTTGTATTTTCTCTGAATTTTTTTGTATACGGTTACGGATTTGACTTTCCAGCCGTGGTGCGTTGTACGATGTTGCGAAGAAATTTGTGAAATCTTTTATGGAATCGTCCCTGGTATCCCAGTATCTGTTATTGTTCCGGTATCACAGAATTGCTTTGCCTTTTAATGTTTCGGGAAGTGCTTGTAGCAATTGGCTGTCCTGTATGTCGTACGCCATTTGGAGTTCTTTTATCCGTTCCAGAAAGTCTATGGGGTCTCTGGACCCGTCGAAATGGATTCCCCATTTTCTGATTATCTCCATATGTTTGGATTTATCGTTGTTGATGTTCGTATTTGTAGCCGTATCATTAGTGGAGTTTTCTGGGTCCCTTGCGTCTGTCTTTCTGGTTATGTTTACTAGTCTTGTCCTTAGTTCTTCCATTGTTCCTTCTGTAGGAGCTTTTCGATCACTTAGATATGTTATTAATTCTTCTCTTTTTAGTTTCTAGATCCACCCTACTTTTGTGGAGCTCTCATCGTTTCCTGGCATTGTTACTTATTGTTATTGGGCGCACCCTGTATCTGTACTTGTTAGCTTCTTGTATGCGTGCAGTGGACTGTCTTAAGTTTCTTTGTTATTCCTTTACTGCTCGGGCGCCATCTCCTAGAGTGATTTTCATGTTTTTATGAAAGTTGCATTCTTCTGCTTTGCCGGATTCAATCAGTTGCATTTTTCGTAACATCCTACATTGATTTTTTATATTTAATGTAATATTTAAATACTTCAATTAAATCAAATAAATAGTAGATGAAAATAATATAGTTTCATGGCGATTTTGATTACAAGTCGAAAATATTTATTTCGTCTTAATTTGACTTTTAAAACTAAATTTATTAACATTTATTAAATACTTAATTGAAGTTAGGAAATTAGGCGAATAATGTGATAATTTTAAATGCTTATAACATTTCTACTTGAAGTATACAATAATCTTAAATTAAAGCATAACATACAACTAATTAGACCTGTCCCTGGGCTTCGGTTGTAGATGTCTATATATAAATCCCTTTGTTATACCGGATGAGAAAGAATATATTTACCTCCAACTATACGCAAATAAAATTTAATCCATCCTGTATATAATTATTCTTTCCAACATTAAACTGTCTTCTTACTCTTCTTTTTAAATAAATAAGGATATATTTGGTAAAAAAAAATATTTATCAAAAAATATTAGACAAATCTGCATTTTTTTTTTTTTTTTTTCATATATAAAATTAAATAATTTATCTATTTACCAAAAATTGAGCTACCTGAAATGATTTGACACATTGAATACAGACTTGTAAATTTTAGCACCTTAGGTACAGTTATATATACGGATGCAGAATGTAGGCTAGGGATACTTGGCAAAACCTTCCTTTATTTATTCTTCCATAAACAACTAATGACTAGAATAAACAGTAAATATTTAAATGACACCTTTAAAAATCGTTATTGGGGTAAAAAAGGCTAATTTATTTCCAATGTTGTAACTGTTTTTAAAAATATTGAAAAAATAAAAACGAGTTAACTTTGTAAGTAAAAAGTTTACATCGCCACTTTACTGTTAGCTTCTCTTTTAAGTTTTTAAATAGTTATTGAGAGGATTATGTATTAAATTTTAGAACTTTTGCTACGAACCACATTATGGATCACTTATACCAGGGGTTCTCAAAGCCCTAGAGCTCCGCAAAGCCTTTGTGGGGGGATCCGCGAAAATAATAGTCATAATAAAAAGAATACTAAAGGAGTACTATAAAGTTGCAGGCCCGACTAGAGGGGGGAGACAAATTCCCGGGGACCAGGGTACAAGGTGGACCCGGCAACTTTATTGTTTTAGATGTTCGCCACAAAAGGGAGGACCTGGATTGTTAGAGTTTACTACGAAAAGATCTTGTTTTAGGACATTTTTTTGTAACCAATAGAGGGAGTCGGGGCACATTGATGCAAGGGGTACATTGATACAACGACACTATTTAAATATCGAGAATCGCTATCCGTGCTGCGATATCCCTCCTTACTAGCTATACATTTGTAAATACAACAGTTGCTACCGCTCTGCTCTCCAGTTAGACGTTATGCTTCAAAGAAAGCAGGTGTGAATTTGACACTGCCAACTAAAAAGTTTCGTGAAGATTAAAAGTGTCTCAACGCTGTTCTGTGTCATTTAAATTAGTTTAGAAATTATCAAAGGTAAGATATTCCATTTAGTTTTCAAAATGTCCGTGGGGGCACTTTGATACAGTAGAATACGGGGCACATTGATGATTGATATCAAAGTACCCCGCTAGTGTATAATAGTGCCCCAATATACAAGTTTGTTTGTGATTTCTAAATTAGTTAATATTTTTTCCAGAAAATGATGTGTACTTACAAACCTAAGACTGATAGAAGAAATATTGATGAGGAGAAAGTGAAGACTGCTATATCGGAAGTAATATCAAAAAGACTGTCTATACGGAAGGCCGCTGATAATTACGGTATCAAAGCTGCAACTTTACAGCATCGCATTGAACATTTTCGAAAAAATGCTAAAGAAAATGAAGCGTCATCTTCCAATACAACTTATGGGTCCAAATATACTGTAGCACAGGTTTTCTCAATTGAACAAGAGAAAGCTCTTACTGAATATGTGTTAAACTGTAGTAAAATGCACTACGGGCTGTCTTTGCATCAAGTATTGGTTTTGGCTTATGAATATGCGGAATACTTGAACTGTAAATATCCGGAATCCTGGAAAACAAATAGAACAAGTAGAAGAGATTGGGCAGCAGGATTTAGAAGGATAAATCAGGGTCTAAGTCTAAGGAAGCCCGAAAATACGAGCGCGGCAAGAGGTTTTGCGTTCAACAAAACCGCGGTCAATGATTGTTTTGACAATTATGAACGTGTAATGACGCGCTACAAATTTACACCAGATCGTATAATAAATCTCGACGAAACTGGGATCACCACATTCTTACCTACACCTAAAGTTTTGGCAGAAAAAAGACAGAGACAAGTGGGGCAAATAGTATCAGGTGAACGAGGAGAACTGGTAACATTTTGTTGAATAGTTACTGTTACAGGTACTGCTCTTCCTCCTGTGTTTGTTTTCCCACGTGTCCATTATAAAGAACATTTTTTGAATTGTGCTCCTGAAGGAAGTCTGGGATTGGCAAACAGAAGTGGCTGGATGAATGCAGAATTGCATATTGAGGTTTTAAGACATATTCAACGTCATACTTTATGCACCAAAGACAATCACATTTTAATCATATGTGACAACCATGAGTCTCACATTTCAATCGAAGCTGTCAACTATTGTCGTGAAAATGGTATCGTTTACTTGTCTCTTCCGCCGCATACATCCCATAAGATGCAACCGTTGGACGTTTGCATTTTTGGGCCTTTTAAAGGCAAACTTAAAATTGCTTTTAATGATTGGCATGTTCGAAATGTAGGAAAGACCTTGTCGATATATAACATTGCTGAACTAACAAAATCAGCGTTTCTGGAATCTTTTACTCCTAAGAATATCACAAGTGGGTTTTTAAGACCCGACATTTGGCCATTTAATAGACTTGCATTTGGCGATGATGATTTTGCACCAATACAAATATTTTATTCCAGTTCTCAAGAGATTGCTGACGTTGTACATATGACACACGAAGAAAATGCACAACTGAAAGGTTCTGTGGATACAGATATTACCAGAAACGATGTGGTTAACGATAACTGTGAATCAAGTGAGATACCAGTTGTTGATAAAGACGGTCTCCATGAGACCCGATTGGAAGAGGATGTACATCCTTTACATTCTATTCCAATATTGTCCCCTGAAGTAGTTAGACCATATCCTAAAAAAATCCTTGGGTCGTCCTCATCGAAGAAAGGATGAGAGAAGGGAAAATCGAGAGTCTTCACTGATACACCAGAGAAGGATAGATAACAGGCGTTGTACGAAGAAAAAATAAGAAAACGACAAGTTAAAATGATGAAACAGAAAGCAACAACTTAAGAATAAAAGACGACGTCATTCACAATCTGATTCTGATACCAGTCGCAATGAATCTGTGGCATTAAGTGATGATGATGACATGGATTTTGTATCTGACGTTGATTTCGAGGATGTTGTTCTGCAATTGCCAAAACCAAACTTCTCACAGAGCAAATCTCGAACATCATCTCTGTATACTTTTCCTATTGACTTAAGTGGATATAATGTTCAATAAAGGTTAAATGTTTTTCTTTAAGTTTTTAAGGTTAACGGGCGCAGAATACAATCTATTAACATTCGGAAATTTCCGAAGAGTAATTCGTTATGTAGCAGACGTATTCCAACTAAAACTAGTAACGCGTTTGTTACATACACAACGATTAAATCAAAAATCATGCCTTCAGATACCTAACCGATTAAAAAAAAAACGTTTTGTGATCTGCGAATAAGAAAGACACAAGGATGCTTAGTGAAATTTACTCATTTATTTACATCTCTTAGTAAATTATTTATGACCGTAGTGAGATCTTAAAAAACTTAATGGCTAATCTATTAATATTACTACTAACAACAAGTTAATAAAAAACCAGAAAAACCTTATTTTCGGAATTTATTACCACCAAGCACTATGTTTTTTTCTACACAAATTTTTAACGAATGTGCTGCTTTTTTCTCCCACTATATCTAAAAGATTTTCTTCCAGAAAAGGTATTATTTTCTCCCATTTTTCTTCTTGCTACTGACGTTGGTTGAATAGGAATTTTATATTCTTTGCGGCGAGTTGCTATGGCAGAAGTCCTAAAGAAATGCCTTTATATTTGAATGTTTTATGCATTCCACTGAGTAATGCAGTAGTGGTGTGTGCATATTTATCTACATTATTTAAATAGGTCTGTATAGCAGGATAAAATTGTTGAGGATCTTGTTCAAGTTTACTGACTATATCATTAGAATACAATATCCATTTATCTTTTAATTCTGCAATTTCACTTTCTGAAGGCAAGCACGTTCCATTAATAAGCTGCATTATTCCATTTCTAGATGAAGATATTTCATTTTTGTGTGGCGTAATAGATGATGATGGTAACGCACACTCCAAAGTAGGTTCTGTTATTTCTGTATTTTGTAGTGGAATAAATATTCTTTCGGGTGCATTATTGCCAGTTGCAATTTCGTACAACTTTAATTTAGCGTTTGTCGACAGGTTGTTTATAACCGATAAAATATTGTAGTTCCTAACCACTAATGCTTCATGCTTGCAATATTTGCCGTTAAATCCTACAGGGCACGTACATTTGCAACATAACATGTCAACCCTGTAAATTATTTGATTATTTGTTTCACTTTGGACGGTAAACTCCATCTACTCCATATTTGCTGACATAATTTTACAATTCGTGTTATAGTTTTTTAGGTACCGAGAGGTAACAACTTTTGACTCTTGACCAAAGAGTAAATCTAGAATTCGTTGTTTATAATATGATTCAAAGCTAACAACAAAATCTGCTAATTGTGTTACGTTGAAAGCTTTTGTGCATTCAATAAGCGGAACATGACTTCTGTATAGTTATTTGTATCTGTACCTCTCAATGGAAGGTCGATAGAAAACTGCCCACTCCTCTATTCTTGTTAGCATGTTCTCAACATATGTTTCAAAGTTTTCATGTTCACAATTGTCAAAAAAGTCTTGCTTTTGAATTTTCGAGGTCTGTGCTAGTTTTAGAATATAAAATATTTTTGAACATTACATAAAATTGCTGTTTTTTCTTTTGGTACATAATTTTTTGCCATCATTAGCCAACGCCAACATGCTTTTAGGGCATGGAATGTACATAATAACAAATTCGATCACGACCAATATTTACGTAATAAATACATTTCTTTCCGCTAGATCATCTTCGGTAAGAATGACTTTAGGATTTATTTTAATGTGAAGGATTTCAAAAAGGCCTTCAACGCCCAATTCAAATACATCTGATTTTTGGCTACTGCTGATAATACAACCTATGGGCAAACCTCCAGCCGCAGACTGCGTTATAAAAAAATACACTTTGTGGTATTGGTTGTCGCAACTGCCTGTTGCATCAACAAACATTATTTTAGAACACTGAGGCAATTCAAGTGTTCTTTGCATTATTGGCGTACAAAGTGCAATTGCATATTCTCCATTTTTTTTCGATATTTTAAAACGAACTGAACTATTTTTTTCATGATATTTTAGCAACTCCTCAAATTTAAGTAGCATATTGGGACCTGTATAATCGCCATAGTGTTTTTTAAAATTTGCTTTCCATAGTGTAGACACATCATTTTTTTTTGGAAAATAATGTCTGTCAAGAACAAGATTTTTATAACTCTTCCATTTTCATACAACAATAGGTATGGTAAATGACCCTTTTCGAATAATTCAATTATTTTTGCTTTTACTTCAGATCTTACAGAGGTCTTCCTCGAAGCGCTTCAGCAACGTCCTGCCTATGATTGTGTTTATTACGAAATTCAACGATACAAGGATATTCTTGATCTACAGTTGATACTTTATTGCTTTTAATAAATCGTTGGATTGTTATAAACAATTGTGCAGGGCAGTTGATATTTTTGGATCGTCTATTTCGAACTCCTTTTGTAACTTTGCGTGTAGTCGTCTTAAAATGGCAGTGATATATCCTTTTAAATAGATTTTTCGGCCGATTAGAGGCTACTTTAAAAGTTTTTAAAATGGACCAAGATTTTTTACCATTTTTTTGGTATTCTTCCATCTTTGACAGTTTTTCGAAAAAACACTTAAAAATTATTGTCTTTCTAATTTATCTCCAAAAGTAACCTCCGAAAAATTTGACTGCATGGAAATTATTACGATTCTGTCCGTTGGTTAGTTTTTTATACAAAGAAATTTCGGATGGCGCTTTTGTCTTGGGCGCTTTTGTCGAGAAGCGCATTTGTCGGGGCACTTTTGTCGGAGCGCTTTTTTCGGGGCGCATTTGACGGGTCACCATAAATAAAAATCATGCAAGCCGTTTCCAAAATAATTGAGGCGTTTCATACTTAAAACTCGCTGTGTATATAGAATAGGTGTTTTATAGTTAACTTTTTGACTATCTGGAAATATGATATTTTTAAATTTTAAGTTAGGTACGATAAGTAATTGAAAATTTTGAAGAAGTAAAAAGTTAATTGCGCGAGAGAACTCGAGAGAGCTCGAGAGAAACGAGAAAATCTCGTCGAGAGATAACACTCTCTCGTCTCGTCTCGAATCTTTTTTCGAGAGAAAATGTCTCTCTCGTCTCGTACGAGACAAGACAAGACTAGACGAGAGACGAGAATGTCTCGTCTCGCGGCTTCACTACCTTCAATACACTAAAAAATATAAAATAATCTCGATGCTCCTCAAAAAATCTTTACCAAAAAGAGCCCTCGGCAGGCGTTTAGCGCCTAAAAACATAACCTATAAATTTTGTTTACATACCTCTGCATCTTCTTTTGTTTTAATTCTTAATTTGTAGGTGGATTTATTAATTAACTTCCGATCATACAGCTTCGGAAACCAAATCTCACTTATTTCATTCATATTATTTTCTTTAGACAGATATAAATAAAAACGTGTTTGGTTAAATTGGCACGAACGACCACAAAATACGAATTGACAAATAGAGCAGTGCTTTGTTTTGCGCTATAATCAATCACGCGTATGTAGGAGACGTGTTAGCAGTTTTGGTTGTACTAAGTCTGTTACATACAAATTGCAGTTCGGCATTTCACGATTTTATGTTGCGTCTGCTACTTACAAATATGCATCCCGATTCAGAAAACCCACAAATTCCAGCGAATATGATATGGTTTCAGCAAGATGGAGCACCGTCCCATTACCAAATCAATATTCGGCAGTAGCTACCTTAATCGAGTATTTCTAAATCAGTGAATAGGGATGAGGGTGAGTAGGTGTTGTATACAAAACTAAACCTCTTGACCTAGCTGACTTAAGAAGACGAATAACGCTTGCTGAGATGTTGAGTAACGTTAAAAGACTTTTGTTTTAGATTAGGATGTTGCCAAGAGGATTGCGGCGAGTATTTTAAACATCTCCTACATTGAGATGTTTGTTACATTATTAAGAAATAAAGTATTACTTATTAGTTTTTGAGAGGCAGAAGAATCCAAAAATTTAAAAATATACAGGGTGTTGTATTTAAAATAAGAAAGTTGTTGTTGGCCACTGTTACATGACACACCCTGTATAAAAAGTTTTTGTTAAAAAAAACCCGCAACTAAAAATACCAATCGACGTGTCCGAACGTTCTTCCGAACATGTCCCCATCCCCATATAATTATTACCGAATTTATTCCAGTTGGCTGTTCCACACTGTATAATGCACTGTACCGGAAAAACCTTCATTTTATTGATTTTATCTTATTATTTAAATTTTTGACTCCGTGTCACAAGCCTTTAGGGAAAGTTTTACGTATTTATAACAATATCTCGGCTTTGTCACGAACTCCTCGCTCAAAATTACCAAACATTCCTGTAATTTCATTGACCAAAGACAAACTGAAATTCTTCTGGATACCAAACGATCTTTCTAAAGGTACACTAAGCGGCGCGGCGGATGCGATGACCAATATAAAACTACAAAAAACAATTCGCCGAAAGGTGAAGCGGCTTACACAACCAATTAACACTTCTATAACAAATTCCGGACCATCTGCCTTACCAAACAGAAATAACACACAGTATTATTCTGTTTTCAACTGTTACTTCAACGACTTTTAGAAAGGGTTATTCTTTCGAGAAGTGTTATCTGCCAATCTAAATAAAAATGTAGACACAGTGTGTTCGTGTTGTAAGGGGCACTCGTAGTTATCAATGTTTATGTTTTAATATTCGACGATGACAGAAGTAATAAAGAAATCGTCGAAAATTGTTTATAAAACTAGATATCTTAAATGCAACATGTGTTTGTGCGTGTGAGTGAATTGTAATGTGACATTTAAAGGAAAACATGTGCAGTTATGGGAGGGGTTTGGGTTCTTCAAGTGGATAAAAATGGTAGGTGGCCATTTTATTATTATATTATTTTTATGTTTAACTTATAAAAACTAAAAAAAATATGGGTTGATATATAACAAATAATTTAAAATTTATTGTCTCATTAAATGAATAATATAAAATAGATGTGAAAAATGAAATATTTATTTCGTTTATTTCTCAAAAACTATAAATAATTTCATTACAGGGAGTCGAAGTATATGAAAGATTAGGATTCCTTGAGTACATGATTTTTAAACAATATAATTATTTTTGGCGTTATTTGAGAAACTTATTAAAAATCCTCGAACAGGTAAATTTTTATTTCTGACAGGTTGTTATAAAAGTGTCACTCCAGTTTCAACAGCTCCCGGGTTAACTACACCCTCGATTATTTTAATTAGCAACAGTGTCCAATTTATAGATCATATAAAATGATTTTTAATTCTGTTTATCTATAATTTTTATTCTTACTAGGTGCCACTTAAAAACAAACGATAGATAATCTAAAATTATCATGAACCAGTTTTTTAAATAAAATAAAAATTATGTTAAAATCATTTATTAAAAAAAAATATATATATAATAGATAATAAACATTTAAAAAGGGCAAAACTTGAAAGTACTTGTACATATAAGGTGCATTTTTATTGATGTACTTATATTCTATTAAGAAAGCACAAAAAATTATTGCATAACCAAACAGAGAAATGTTACATTTTATAAAAATGTAACTATAAAATAAAAAACCTAAAAGAATTTTTTCTTTCTATCTTTGATTTCCGCAAATGTTTTTATTACATCTTTTGAGTTTTTTTATTAGCAATTTCATGCTCAATCGCTAAAATGGCCAACCCATTAAGACGATTTTGCGTTGTAGTTGAACGTAAAAAGTTCTTAATCAATTTTAATTTGGAAAAAATATTTCTCCACTTGCAACAGTTACTGGTATAGACAGCAATACTCTTAAGGAAACACTTAGGTTTCTTCTTTGTACAGATACTGCACAGATTTCTTCTGCTAATTCTACCCCATTAATATCAACAGAATCACCGTGAGTTAAAATATTTTCTAGATTGTTGCAATGTATTAAAAGATTATCTTTAAACATGCCCTTTAAATCATATATATTATATAAAAATTGAAAATAATTACTGTGGGGACTAAGTTGTTTAAATTTAACATCAATTTCGTCAGCCAGTTCTCTCGCATCAACAATAGTTTCATTAAAAGATTTATCCGACCGAAGATACTAAAAAAACTTTTTGCAATTTTGCAGAAGATCAAGTGCAGATGATAGATCATAATCTTTTGTCTGCAATAATTTGCTTATTGGATTAATACAGTTTAAAATGTTATACCAAAGAACTATTGAACACAAAAATTTGAATTGTTTAATACAACTTAATAAACCC